GTTGGAAACCCTCCTACCCCCCCCCCCCAAACGATTTCTCCCCCGCGGCCACNTCACACGAGGCGAATATCACGGTCAGTGGCGTTTCTTTGGGAAAGTCAAGTTCATCTGGGGCCCAAATGAGTTGAGTGGAGCTGACACATTCACAACACTGGCCAACGAAACGGAAACAAAGATTCTGTCGTGCGTTCGCTAAATAAGGAAAGCAGGAGCACCATTTTCTATTGTAAAAAAAGTGTGATGTTGTGCTGTGTGTCATGGACTGCTTCAAGAAGTGGCGCATGCATGTCAGAGTAAACTGTGAAGTGACGCAGTTCAAACTCGTATACAGTCTGAACAAAATATTATTGTTTATAGTGTGATTACATTTACAATATCACCATGTCTCAAGGTTGAAGAAAAAACTATGGGTAAGGCCTCTGGAATTTCATAACATATATAATAAAGATTATATTTTGAATTTCATGGCAAAATAATCGCAGTTAATTTTCATTTGTAAAAACTGTTCTTTTGTGTATATGTAGAAGATTTTATTGTCATTCAGGTTTTTTTTGCATAGAATGGATAATATGTAGTTTTTTCTGAAAGTTTACAATGTTAAAGACTTTTTTTTTTATTGCTAGTGGGGTGGGACTAAATCCCTTGTACTGTGGCCACTTCTGCCCTATTGCACCAGCCCCAGATGATAGGTGAGGGTGATTGCGGAGCAATTTGTGGAATGAAGATTGGCAGGGGAAACCAAAGTACTCGGAGAAAACCTGCTGCAGCGCTACTTTGTCCACCATAAATCCCACTTGACCAGACCCGGGATCGAACCCAGGGTGCTGTGATGAGAAGCCAGCGACTAATCGCTTGAGCTATGGCGCAAGTTAAAGACTTAGAGCCATATAAATTCTGGCCGCAGAGGGCTGTCAATAATTTAAAAGTCCATGCGTTAAAGGTTAAAACCAAAGCAAATTTAACTTCAGACAGCCTTAAATTTTGAAACCTAACATCAAATTTCAGCAATCCAACATTACATTTATAGCTACTTACCATACCAAATTACCTATCTTTAATAGTATTTCCCAGAATCAAGTTTTGTCTGATAAGTCATATACAGACATAACTTTTTTTTGCTTTTCTTGAAAGATGCATATTCAACTCATGCAGGAAGGTTCCTCGTTATATCAACTGAAAAGGTCTCATCTTGAATCATATTAGTACTTTCAATCTCATCCACATTTTGTCCCTTCACTTTCACTTGCAAGACCATAATGACTTCATTTTTCAAACCATAAAACCTTTCCAGCACCCTGTGATAAGACAGCCAGAAGACATCTGCGTGTCTGTCACTGTCAAGATCATTCATGTGTTGTCACAATACTTCTAGTGAGAATAAGCTTCACCTTTCCTTTTATTATGGCGCATAATCTTCACCACTTCAAATACTTTTGAATACACTGACCTTCTATAGGTTTGGAGTGATGCAATTAAATTAGACAACCATAATTTGCTTTTCACTGTTGCTTCCTGTTTTATTAATTCCATGGAAACAATTTTGTTGCTTTTTAACACAGATCTTAATCACACAGTTTCTCTTCCTTACAAATGTGTCATCTCTCCTTGTTTTCCTACAGATGTGTAGTACCTTTCCTTGTGAGTTTCATAATGGCACCTATCTTACATTCTTTACACACGCTGTTTGCTGGCAAATGAGATACCCAAGTTTGTCTTATAATTTTGAGAAAAAGTATTGTACCTCCCATTCTGAAACACATAACATTCCTCTTCTGTTCTGTGCTTTCTGCTTGAACACATCTTTGATACAGACATCATTATGGCCAAAATTTAATATAAGGTACAAAACATAACAACACAGTGAATGATGGCATGAAATGAATGCCCCAGGAAAGCATACCTCCACTACAGTCCACGGATCAGCTACAATCCCTTCTCACTCCCTAACAGTATGTAAAGCACTGGGTTTTCCTTTCTCCACTCTACCAGCTGTACTAAAATATAGGGGGCAGTCAAATGAAAATGGGTCACCACGCATAACTCACAGTGCGCAAGTTGGTAACACTGGAATTTGCTTATGGTACGAACATCTGCTAGGGACTCGGGAAAGCACAGTAACAACATTCCCTTGCACACTAGTCATTTGTTTATTGAGCTGGAAGTAAGGTTAGCGCTACGTGTGGTCGTCCAACATCAGTAATGGAGGTGGGTAAAGAAGAACAGCAAAGTGTAGTGCACTTTCTGACTGCTGAAGGAGGAGGAGAATGAGAAATTCATCGTCACGTCTGTTGTTTACAGCGAACACAGCATGTCAAGTTCGCGTGTGCTGGCATGGCATAAGAGATTCCGAGAGGGACACGTGTCACTGCAAGATGATGCTTACTCAGGACAGGCTCATCTTGTCATCACTCCTGATGTTATTGCTGTGTTGGATGGTCATATCCGAGCAAACTGACAGATCACTGTGGAATAAATTAGTTTTGATGAGAATAAGTCACAGTTCCATACATGTCATGGTGACAAAACACCTGCTGCACAGCAAAATCTGTGTGCAGTGGGTTCCACATCAACTTATGAAGGAACAGAAGATTCGGAGAATGGCTGCATCACTGGGTCACTTGCAACGATACCACAAGGAAGAGTAGGCTTTTCTGTCCCATACTGCCACTGGGGATGAAACTTGGTGCCAACATTTTGAACCCGAGAGCAAATGGCAGAGTCAACAGTGGAAACATGTGAATTCTCCCCCACCGAAGAAATCCAAAGCCGTGCACACAAGTTCCAGTAAAGTGATGACGATGTTCTTCAACTGCAAGGGCCCTCTCTTTGTCAAATTTCTCGAGCATGGGGCCAAAATTAGTGCACAGCGCTATGAAGACGTTTTGCAGAAACTGAGATGTGCCATAAAGTCAAAACGCCCTGGAATGCTATCGAACGGCAGTATCCTTCTTCTTGTTAATGCGCGCCCCCACACTGCCAACTCTGGGCGGAATATGCTACAGAGATTTGGTTGGGAAGTGCTTCAGCATCCCTCCTACAGCCCAGATCTGTCCCTGTGTGATTTTCACATTTTTGGAGACCTGAAGAGACACATTCATGGACATCGGTTTGCATTGGACGAAGATGTGTGGGGTTGGGTAAACATGTGGTTCTGCAGATAGCCCACAAGCATTCTCAAGGATGGGACTGACTATCTTATCTCCCAGTGGGATAAATGTATTAACAGCTTTGGAGATTACTTTTGAGGTCAGAAATGTTCTTTAATATGTTTTTTCTTCTGACCTGTTTTCATTTGACTGCTCCTCATATATTGGCTAAACTAACAATAGCAGCAAGTTTAGGGTGGGTAGATAGTGCCAAACAGTCAATTTCAATGAACAGATTTACTAGGGAATTGGCATGACCTCCACCCACTTCTATCTTACCAGCTTACATGATAGAAACATGGATGATCATAACGAAACAAGAACCAGCCATACAGTCTTTTGAAGTGATGAGCTGCCATGATCCACCAATATGCACTGAGAGGGCCAAATGAAATCCATGGATGGCCAGTCTGACATGTCTGTTTTAACCTGATACTGCTCTTCAATTTTCAAATTCATTAGCCTCTTGAAAATAGATCTTCCCATTTAAAACTTTTGCACTGCTTGACTGCCTAGCAATTCTGTCTCACTTTTGCCTACCAACAAATATGATCAGAATCACAACTGGATATCAAATATAATTGAATGCTTTCTTTTACTTACAAAAGACACGATCGATTCATATGTGAAAATTGTTTCAATAACCCAGACGATGTAATCTTACATGTATTCTCATCAGAATTCCTAGTGTCTTCAGATATGCTGCAATTTGAGAAAACTGTATGCTTGACAATCATTTCACATTTTGTGTATACGAGGGAAAGTCAGAAATTATCTGCACTAACACATCTTTAGGTTTGTCTCACTGTCTTATGGGCATGCATGCTTAGAGTTGGTACTATTGTGGTCATGTGATCAAAGTTTGACCTTGATGCTGTGCCAGTGTAAACATGACCACTCCGCTAGCAGTGTGCACCAAGGAGGAACAGAGAACAGTGATCTGATTTCTCTGGTTGGAAGGTGTGTCAGGGGCTAAAATTCATTGGTGGTTCCATCACTATGAGCCAGAATCCAAAAGCCAGGGTATGGCATAGAAACACCCGGGATCACCAATGAAGAAGAAATTCAAGACCCAATCTTCCGCCGGAAAGGTGATGCTAACTGTTTTTTGGGACTCAAAAGGGCCTATACTAGAAGACTACCTGGAAAAAGGATGTACGATCAACAATGCAAGATACAGTGTTTGCTCGCCAACTATCTGAAGACAACAATTTGCAACAAACGCCGAGGCCTACTGTCGAAGAAAGTGTTGTTGCACGACAATGCATACCCACACATGGCCGGCCAGACCGTTGAAACCCTTAACCATTTGGGTTTTGAAGTGCTGGAACACCCTGCCTACAGCCCAGATGTCGTCCCTTCTGACTGTCATCTGTTTGGACCACTCAAGGATGCTCGACGAGGTCGCAGATTTTCTATGGACTAAGAAGTGTGGGAAGCAGAACATAAATGGTTGCACAACCAACCAAAAACCTTCTTCCTGGAGGGAATACGCAAGCTTGTGGACCGCTGGCCCAAGTGCAACGAAAAGGAAGGAGAGTATGTAGAAAAATTATGTACTTGTTCAACCCCTACTTTTGTGTATATAAATTGGAAAAACAAGAGTGCGGATAATTTTTGATTTCCCTACGTATCTCTCACCATGCTGGATTTTTACAGCAATGAATTAGTAATACAACCCCCCCCCAAAAAAAAACAACAGAAAGCCCACCCAAAATTAAATATTTCTCATAAATTTTAGTACATACCTCAGTCCAAAATAGTATTTAAATAAATTCAGTAGTTTCGGGAATGAAACAGTCTGATGAATACAATCTCCACAGCATGCACCACCAATTGCAATAACATACACACCTTTTGTTGTGTTATCATCTTCAACACTGGAGTCACATGCTTGAACACATTTGCAGGAGTCACAATCCATCCAAGGCAAAGTGCCTTCTATCCTCATACAGTGGCACATGTTTCTATGTGGCAATGTTTTTATGGTGGTCCTGGGCAGTGAAACTGTTGGATTAGCTTCTTTAGAATTTGCAGAACTCTGATTTCCAATAGTGCCCAGCCCCTTTTCTTCTGTTGCCTGTTAAATTACATACGAAAATATCAGACCCACATATTGAAATCTCTGAATTCCATCTCCTCATGACTGATTTATTAACTCCTAAATTATTTAACATAACACTTTTTACACTGTATATGTTACACAGCATAGAAAGAGTCCATCAGATGATCCTGAATGGTAAGTAGGTAAGGATCTGGAAAAGGTGGTTGTGGCTTATTTTAAAGTACTACACTGGCATTTGCTTGCAGAAGTTGAAAAAAAATAATACAAAAAAAAAAACCTATCTGGGAAGATGGCAGCCTGCTTGAGATTTCAACTGTTTTATCTCCCAAATATAACATCACAGTTTTACCAGTACACCAATCTGATTGATCCATTCCATCTCATACCAAGATGGTAATATGTTTTTATTTCTCCTTGTATAATTTATATGCTGTTCTATAAAACCATGAGCTGCTACAAGGCTGCCTGATGTACCATCCAATTAGGAAATATGTGGCAATTCCCTGACTTATATTGTGATTTTGTACTAAAGAAAGTGACCCACAACATACAAAGGGCATTCCGTATATAATGCCTCCTATTTTTTTGTGATAATATGTAACGTCTGAGCTGGATGTTGGTGGTGTTGTAGTAAAGGTTGAACCTTCCCACCAATGTACTGTTAGCTTGGTTGTCATGTGACAGATAGCAACAGCAGAGCAGTCTACCAAAATGGCGTCTGACATAGAAATGTGTACGAATCAGAGATGTGTTACTGAATTTCTCACTGCCGAACAAATTGCACCCGTTGACATCCATCGACACTTGCTAAAGGTGTATGGAGACAATACAGTGGGTGTCAGCACAGTTAGGTGGTGGGTAGTGCGTTTCAACAGTGGTGAAAGTGAAGTGCACGACAAGCCATGCCCTGGGTGTCCCTGCTCAGCTGCCACTCCTCACAATGAACAGCACCTCGATCAGCTCATCCATTCAGATCGGTGGATAACAACCAGGAAACTGTGTGCACAGCTTAATATCGGCTGCAATGCATTGGAAACAATGTTGGGGAAGCTGGGTTATCGCAAAGTTTGTTCCAGGTGGGTCCCGCAGATGCTTACACAGGACCTCAAAATTCATTGAATGGAAGTTTGTCAGGGCCTGTTGTACCAGTTTGAGGCTGAAGGTGACAAGTTTCTGGACAGCAGCGTCACCGGAGATGAGATGTGGTGTCACCACTACGAGCTGGAATCCAAAAGACAGTCCATGGAGTGGCAACATCCGGATTCCCCCCCCCCCCCCAAAAAAAAAGAAGTTCAAGAAACAGCCATCGGCAGGGAAAGTGATGTGCACAGTCTTTTGGGATAGGCTGGGTGTGATTTTGTTGGATTTCTTGGAGCCTGATGGTACTGTCAGTTCTGAACGCTACAAGACGACACTGACTAAGCTGAAAGCCCGCATTTCCCGAGTCAGGCCAGAGAAGCAGATAACCTTTCGCTTGCAACACGATAATGCTAGACCCCATACCAGTTTGGTGACCACCACGCACATTGCAACGTTTGGCTGGACTGTCCTAGCACATCCACCTTGTAGCCCCGATTTAGCACCTTCAGACTTCCATCTCTTTGGGCCTATGAAAGATGGACTATGTGGGCAACATTTTCCAGAAAATTATGCGGTCATTGCAGCTGTAAGAAAGTGGCTAGCCTCTGCTGGTGCAGACTTTTATGGGCATGGCATACAGGCTCTTGTTCATCACTGGAAAAAGTGCACAATGAACGGTGGTGATTACGTGGACAAATAACTGTAAGTAGCTGAAATCTTGCTCTATTTAACTGCATTATTATGCTTTCCGTATCTGTTGTAGTTTTCATTAAAAAGAATAGGAGGCATTATATATGGAACTCTCTTTGTACAACTGAAAGGTCATGTGAAGAAAAGAGGCAGTACAGCAAAAAGGAATAACATCTCAAAAAGTATCATACACTAAGCAGGTGGTTATGAAGAGTTGTAGCACCACGTAGTCTGCTGTCACCTCCAACTTCAGGGTTGAATAATATACCAAGCAGGTAGCAAGCAGAACTGCTTCGCTTGCTAATTGCCTCATGCTTGTAAGCAGTCAGCTGACTTTCAATGGACTACAAGGTGGTATATCCCACAATACTGAACACATTATGATTATGGTGATTAAACATGCAGAATAAATGAATACTATATAGCAGCAAGAAAATAGTCTCTCTTCATACAAACATCTGAACATGAAAACAAGAGAGAAACGAAATTATGCCCATCAAAATTAGCACTGTGTTGTGTGCTACAAACTATGTCACTATGGAACATGGTACAACTATGAAGACTGTGTACTGCACTCCTTTTTCTGTTACCACAAGGTGGTCAGTACTACAGGGGTGGAACAGGAGCAAGGCTGAAAAAGTAGTCTGATGGCAAGATTTGGGTTAGAGAGAACTCACTTTTTACACATCTGCCTAGTCAGCCTCAGCCTCAGGTCTGCGTGGTAAGACAAACTAACAAATGCTTCCTTTGACAAGGCAGACTATACTGTAACGTGTTGGGAATCCAGAAGAGTCACTTCTATGGAAACGCTGGGGGAATGATAGCCACAAGAAGTTAGTGGTCGAAAATGACACAGAGATGACTGCCTGCCAAGATATGGAGACACAGAAGTAAGATGTCCCCAAAGTAGACGCTGAAGTAATGCCGGTCGGGGAACCGAAGCAGAAAAGGCACAGGGACAGAAAACTGGCCACGGAGCGCCGCCGCCAGAAAGCAAAGTATTCGACATGGGAAAATCATACACCCCAGAAGAAATTGGCCGCCACATGCAGAGTGACAACACGCCTCGCGGAAGTGGCACGAAAAACGCAAATACACCGGAAGACATCCTGCCGTGCAACAGTGGCATGGGGCAAAAGGAACATCTTCAAGAAATCTACGACCCAAGAAAAGTGTGGACCGTGGCACGAATTGGCTGCCAACAGAAATATAACTGATCGCGCAGGTGCGACACAGCGCAAGAGAGATTTCGTAAAGAGATATTCAATCAGGGTCAATGCTGAACGAGAAACCTGGAAAGGAAGGAAAGGAATAAAGAACATAGGCAGCAGACAGCCGCTATGCCAGAAGAAAAAGGTGCCAACCAAGAACGGCATCGGAGGGTGTAGGCGAGGACAGTGATCGCACCCAGGAAGGAGAGGAACTCGAGAGAAGACCCCCTACGAGGCTGTCAACGTGAAGAACACAAAACAAATTACCAGGTTTACCGCTGGGTTGCTACCCGCCAAAAATTGGACACAGTGGAGGGGTCAACCCCCTCCAAAACGGAAAACGGCCCACATGGGAGGAACCGGTAATAGATGTGCCGGCTTCACTCACAAGGATGAATGAAGACTGAATGAGCGAAGGATGAATGTGAGGCGACAGAATCGACAAATTCTCGGCTACGGGAGTGCTCGGGGTGAGCATCACTGATGAGAGGGGCGGATGCGGTTGGATGAACAGCGCAGAAAGATGCCAGCAGAACACCATGGAAATGGAAGAAAGGAAGAATCTTTAGGCTGTTCGGGGACGAAAAACCTTTAGAGGGGAGCAATGTAACGTGTTTGGAATCCAGAAGAGTCACTTCTATGGAAACGCTAGAACAGACCGTTTCCTACGAAGTAACAACAGCGGTATTGCAATCCCAACAGTGAGCCGTTGCGTAGGAATTGCAGAATCAACGAAGCAGCATTTCCTTGGAGATAGGCAACAGAAGGTCCAATGCATAGCAACCGCTGAGGTTATAAAAGCCCAGCTTCGATGAGAGACAGACAAGTCTCGTGATAGATGCCGAGAGATACAGAACACAGTCTGGAATCAGTCGCCAAAGAAGATAGTCTCGCGATAGATGCCGAGAGATACAGATGTACTGGCCGAGATATTGTAAGCAGTCACTGTAATACTGCTAATGATTGTAAGGTGTGAAAGTGTGAGTGTCCAATAAAGATTCGCTGAATCCGAGACCAATGTATAGTTATTTGTTGCGTGCAATAATCAACACATTAATTCAGATTCATTTTATCTTATTTCAAGTGAATGATTATGACTGCAACAGTGTTTACTCCATTGCACATGAACAGTGGCTTGAGTCAGGTCCAGTGCAGAGGTGGCCGAAGATGGAATTGTTGTAGACGTTTATTCCAAAGCACTGTCAGACATTTACAGTAAAAAAAAAGTATAATAGTTCATAAACTAGTGGTAGGCACATTCAATTTTATTCAGTCACACTACACATGGGTTTGTGTTTCTCAGAAACATTGCCAGGCAATCTTTTGTTAGCCCACAAGACAGAATCTGTCATACTCATGTAACATATAGATGTGCATTTTTGTTTAAAGTACTCTTCACTAATGTCCAGGGAAGCTGGAACATTTAAATTTTAGAAACAGAAAACAACACAACGTGCTAAAATGATTTATCAAGTACCTGCTGATTGTTGAAGATGTTAGTGAGCTGAGGATTTTTGCAAATAAGACCACATAATACACAAAGAAACTGGATTTCAGCAGACTCTGTAGGTGAGGCTATTCTTCCATTACACAGGCTGATCAACCTCTGAAATAAGATGATCAAACAGTATGCAATAAAGCCAGAATACAATGAAGTGTGTGAAACCATAATAATAAGCAGCAATATGCTGATTATTTTTTATTGCTAGTGGGGTGGGACTAAGTCCCTTGTACTGCGGCCACTTCTGGCCTATTGTACCAGCCCCAGATGACAGATGAGGGTTTGGTGGAATGAAGATTGGCAAGGGAAACCAAAGTACTCGGAGAAAACCTGCCCCAGTACCACTTTGTCCATCACAAATCCCACTCAACCAGACCCGGGATCGAACCCGGGCTGCCGCGGTGGAAAGCCAGCGACTAACTGCTTGAGCTATGGTGCGGCCCTAATATGCTGATTAAGCGTCAAGTTAAATTTTAGTCATAGTTTAAATACATTAAAAATACATCATACGAACGATTTCACATCACACGTAGAGGTGCAAAAAGCTAACCGAGTGTGCGTTAGTTTTGTTTTCTGATTTTGAAATTTGACATTAACACCCAATATTTAAACATCTGTATGAAGCATACCGCAATACTACAGGCAAGGGGATTCTGCTGAGTTGCATTTAGACTGAAGCTGCATTTCTGGAACACTGATAATAGCGCAGATATTTAGACTGCAGACAATATACCGGGTTGAGTTACATTGGAGGATGATTATGAATGCTCAGTATGTAGAGATATGGAAGGACATGGTCATGATCTATTTAAAGGAGAGACTAAGAAAAACCATTAAGAAGCTCAGTGAGAATAGCCAGTATCAGACTGAGAATTATGCAAGGAATCCCCCAAACATAAGACTATAGCATTATCGTAGTAATGTAATACAGTCACTTAGTTACAAAAAGACAAGTGCAGAGACATATTTGTAATGCAGTATGCTTGATAAAAGACCATTATTATATATATTTTATAATGTAAGAGCCTGACCACTGTTTAAACCATGGTTTTTGACCAATTCACCCTCTGTACATTTGGCAACAGTGAAGGAGTCAACCACCTTGATGGGATTCCACTTGAGACTGGTTCTTGCTCAGGATGGTGGTGGTGGCTAAAAACAGGAATCTACTATTTAATATTTACTCAACACGATAATTGAGGCTGAAATTCTCCACATTCACAGTGATTCAGCTTTGTCAGCGGTGTGATATAAAAAAGCTTGCAAAATTCATACTAGTTCTGGCTGGTCTCAAACCTGAGCTCACTCATTGCAGTCCAGTGCTTTACCCCCACATTAATAAAGCCTCCACTAGGAACTATCATGGTTCCTTCTTCAGAATCATTAAGTCAGCCGCAAGTTCCGGTCCAACCACCTAAACAGTTTTTTGTGTAACACTTGGGCATTAGGACATGTAGAAACATAAGATTTCTATCCAATGAACTGTCAACATGTCATGTATTTTGATGCCTTCTTATGCTGTACTGCTCATCTGTTGGCTGATATGGCTCCCCTATTGCTTCAAGGTTATACAACCCTTCCTGACGCCATGCTTGCAGATTCATAAAGACACAAAGCAACAGGTGAATCAGATCAGCTACTTTTTTTCTCTTTTTAACTTTATATGAAGCACAGCTCTGCACAGGTGAGTACAAAAGATGACAATATTTTGCTGAGTTACATGCAGACCTATTTCCTGTGTCTAATGATGAGAAGTGTGAAACTGAGACTTTGGACAGTGACACAAGTACAGACAAGGATAAAAGTACTGAACCAGATAACAGTGATCATTCTGATGATGGAAAAAATTGCCTGTGTTGTAAAACTGATAAGAAACCAAGCAATGAATGTTTTATTAGATCTCCAGCAGTTAACAAAGTTACTGAGAATCCACAGTCTGTTGTTGAAGTGGTAAGTGCAATTAAACGTGACCAACTTATACAACTGTGCACTGAACAGTACAATCTGTACCTGACTCAAAATGTACAATAGAAGGCAGCAGCTAAATCATTTAAGTGGCCCAACATTACACCCAAAGAAATTAAAACGTTTTAAAACTGACGATCTTGATGGATTAAGTCAGAAATGGCAATATAAGCCCACAATTTCCATATCCATTTTCCCCAGTGCGATGAAAAACTGATCTGAGGCCAACATGCAAGCCCAGCATTATATTCACAACAGCCTGCGACACATGATTCAGGAAGGCTTTCCCAAATACAGACTGTGTGTGAATATTTCCTGCAGAAATTCAGGTCTGCTTACTGGCCATGAAAAGAATTGTCATTAGAGAAAGCCATGATCCTATGGCAGGGTCACTTGAAGTTCAGAACATACAGGGTGATTCACGAAGTTTTCCCCCACTTAGGGAGGGCATTCCTGAGATAATTTGGAACAAAGAATTCTAATATACTAATGGTATCCAACTCATAATTAAAAAGATACAGTAATTTTAAAACTGGCGAAAAATCTATTTTTCTTCGAATTTCAGTCAAAACAAATTAGAAATACAATACAAACACTTTTGAAATCATTAATGTTTTAGGAAAGAAGCATTCTAAAACCATACTTTTTTTTCAATTTCTTAATTTTGCATTGTGCAACATTTTTCATCGATTTTATGTTACAAAATTACATTATTTTCAGCATCCCATTCTGTAAACATACTAATGGTTGCATATCACACCCTTCTATCAATCTGTTTCCTTTAAACTGTATTGCTTTAGAAGACGACTGGATTTACATAAGATTTTCAAAAATGTCTCCCTGCACATCAACACAATTCGTCGCAAGCGTATCAACCAGGCTCATGGCATTTCACAGTTCCACACGTTTGTTCCTTTTTGTCATCGCCCCGTCCCGTGTAAACTGTGCCGCATCGCAGAACATTATCAAGCGGTACAACTGCCGATCTCCATTTAACCAGTTGCAGAACTGCAGACGAAGAGCACAGTCTCATGGTTGTAGGTGTTGTACTTGCTGTAAATGATAAGGATGCAGCCTGTTCTCATGAAGAGTCCTCCACGCCATGGACTGAGAAACACCAAACCGCCAAGTTAGACGTCTTGTACTGGCACGCGGACTGTGCTCTACAGCATCAAGAATGTTTTCTTCTTCGCACAATTCATGTTGAGGATTTCGTTCGTATTGTATACGAACACTGGGGAGAGAACCAGTTTGTCTTAATGTACTGAATGTACTGCTAATGGATTTAGGATTTGGAATCCTGCGATTAGGATAATGCCGGTGATATTCGGCAGCAGCAGCTCTCGCATTTCCATCACATACACCCAAAACAAATACCATACTGGCGTATTCCTCAGTGGAAAATATGTACAGCATCTTAACTTCAGAACTGGATCGCTCTGCCTACCTACGTGGAACATTCCAGCCGGTCTGCCTTATCTGCTGACACAGCTGACTGGAACGCATGGTCGCCCAGTCAGGGGGGGGGGGAGCGCTGCATTCACAATAATGCGTTTCGAAAATCCATTGTTACTCCGTAACTACTGAAAATCGACCACAAGTTTGTAACGAAATTTTGCAGGAAATAACCCCAGGAACATGTACCATAAGCCAGGGTAAAACTTCGTGTATCACCCTGTAGAATCCAGGGAAAATAATAAAATCTGAGGTGTCAGTGAGAATGATTATGTGTAGCTTCAACAGGTTAAATTTTTAATATGCAAGAATACACTGCCGAGGGAAAGAAATCAGAGAACATGGTGCTTTCAGCTTCAGACAAATACTTAGGTCAGAATTACCACATCTATTAACTGTTCAGCGTGGTTTGACGTGTATGTTTCTTCAGGTATTTAAATCGTCTGGGGGGGTTCGACGTGTATGTTTCGTCCAGCTGCACACCTATGTTATAACGCCCATAATAATTGATGGTTTTGCTGTAGATTGTTAGATTCTTCGCTGGCCTGTTGTCACAAGAACGGTTTATAATGAGAAACGAGTTTAAGAGCGCTAAGTCATCGTTACATATGCCTGTCTTGCAGCAAAGTTCCTGTGGCTCTTGCGAGCAGTTTATTCGTTCTACGTTTATGAATGCCGTGTTTTCTTTGCTATGAAATTATAAACAGCAGAGACGTGATATCTGCTGTGTTTATAATATCATATTGCCCTGAGCTGGCCACACTAACACACTCAATTGGAATTCTTAGACCAG